TATTAAATATTTATTCATATTTATGTATTATCGAATAACAAAGAAACGTTGTAAGCCAAATAGCAAATACCATTCTTTAAACACATCATTCTCATTTGAACTATGTTTCTACATTTTTGTTTAAAAATAATTTAAATTAATATTATTTTATTTAGGTTTAGTTTTTTTTAAAAAAGACAATTTTTATAATTAATATCATGACGTTATGAAAAATATAATAATGCTTTTTAATAATAAAACTCTCTTTGATTTCAGTAGCTTTGTTTACTTGCGTAATTGCCAATTGTTACTGATACTGTTGGAAAAACGCATTTTTTCTTTCTATTAAGAAGATAGTAATGTCACTGCTTTATACTTCTTTTTAATGACGGGGTCAAAAAAATATGTACTGAATGGGCTTTGGTTTTATAGAGATGCTGCCGCAAAATACACTTTAAGTGCAACCATCAACTTTTTGAAGAAACAATCTCCTTGACTGCCCATTAAAATCGTATGATCCGAAGCTCCTAGACTGCTGTAGTTTTGAAAATTATTGATTTATGCAGAGAAGTCCACATTGAAGTCTTAAAATCGATGATAGAAATGATAGAAAAAAGTGAAAAATTGGTTTAGAATAAAAAATATCTTTCTAACTGTTGTAACACTTATTCTAAAACTTATGTTTTATCAAAAAAATCAATACTAGAGTAGATTTCTATTTTCGTCTAAATATTTTTCCTGCAGTCAATGAGTATGTCTAACTTTTTAAAAGAACCATGAAAGTTTCTGATATACCAAACGTTTTCTGTTTATATATTGAAATGAATAACTTTTATTTATTTATATTATTTTAAAATTAAATTAAAACGAAAATTTTTAAAGCAATTAATTCTCTTTAAAATAAAAAAATACACGCAAAATATTTAACAAGTAAATGGAAAATCAGCAAAACTTTCTTAAAATTCTATTTTAGTGGTAAATCACATAGAATTAAATAAAATTATATTTATTTGATTTTAATCCATTTAATGTCGATATCAAATACCAAAAACAATAGTAATTTATAGAATGAAATTGATATCTTGATTAGCTTTTGATTGGTTAAGAATCATTAAAAGCATTGCAATTTCAGAAAAATAAAAACTTCCAACCCAAACAGAATAAATAAAGACTTTTTTATATATACTATTCACTGCAGATACAAATATGTGAGCTGCTATAAATTTCCTCTGCTATTTTGATAATATGTAACGGTAATCAACGTCCTCGCACTAAAGCCATTACGCACATAATCGGAAATGATTCATATGCAGTAATATAAAATGATTATCAGCGAACTGGACCAATTGTATTCGTATTGAATACAGTAACACCATGCAAAGTAATAGATTGAAATTATATTTATATATTCTTGTACACATATATATGTATATATATATATATTTATATATATGAAAAGATATGTGTATGAATATGAATATAAATTCATCGGCTGTAAAAGTGTATATTTTCAATACATTTAAATAATCGCCAGCTGGGATGAAATGCTGGGGCTGGGTATGAAGTTAGCTACGTCGTTAGCTGTAATCTTCATCGCATAAATTATTTGGTGTTATATTTATTGATTGGCGATAGCAATTTAAGGATTTTGGAATATAATGCAAAAATAATTATAGCAGACTACCTGATGGGAATTGAAAATCTGCTGGATATTAAATTTTTATTGTAAAGCAATTATATGAATACATTGAAAAATTGAATCCGAAAATTTTCTATGAATCAGTAGAACTCCATTCAAATAAATAATAATGGATGCATGTATATTAAAAAAATGAACCATTATCAAATCAGATAAGAAGAATGATTTTTGGGAGTATTTTTATTATGATATAGACAGGTATTTAAGAATAATGGTTCGAAAACCACTCAACATTGGATAAAAACACAATTTTATTACACTATGTATTTCATATGAAAATACTTTGTCTTGAAAATATAATTTTAATACAAGAAATAAAAAAAAATAATGAGACAGGAATTTTTGAAATAAACCGAGATATATTTCAAAAAAATATGTTGTTGACAAAAACCAAAGTCAAATACCTTTTTATATTGCAATGTACGCTTAAGTGTTGATTTCACACTAAAATGATATTAATTTGAATTCTAAATAATATTTTAATGCCCAATATCAAACAATAAATCTTTATTAAAACTGTCTTTATATATCCCAAAAATAGCAAACAAACAAACAAGTACATAGTACTCTTTAGTACATGAATGACCTTTTAAAGAAGCATTTAACATATTTTTTTGTTTATTTAAATGGATCCGAATATTATAAAACTTTAAAATTAAATATTTTTTTAAAACTCCGTGTAATTTTATTTATCTTATGATTTTTACTAACAGTTTTCTTGTGTTTTTTTTTATTTAAATACTTGTTATTCTGGTTCATTTCTTTAAAAAACAAGTTTCCATCCATCACACATCGATATCTTGCAATCAACCTGCGATATAATTCTCTTTCCGAAGTAATTCTGGACTGCTTTCTATGATCGAACGAATAAGCTGCATACCTACTGTTTTTTCGACAAAAAAGCATCAATTTTTTTATATTACCTATGTTACTCACAGATCATAGGAAATTTGTTTGATTGCAATAAAGCGATCAGTGCCAGATAGAAAATTCTCAAAGTCTCAAAAGTTGTTAGCTTATTATAATAAGGAAATAATTTAACATATT